TCTCCGACTCAGCCATTAAAGCCACCCCAGTAGGTAGGAAGTCCTACTTCATCGCAGTTTTGGTTGTATTTCCCTAATGACTAATGGTGTTGAGCATCTTTTCATGTGCTCATTGGCTGTTTGTGTATCTTCTTTTGAGACATGTCTATTCAAATTCTCTTATGATTAAAACTTTTTTTATTATTGAATTCTAAGAGCTTTGTATATTCTTGATACAAGTCTTTATCAGTATACAAGTATTTGTATGATTTGCAAATAAATGTTTTCTCCCATTTTGTAGGTTGTGTTTTTTTTTTCTTTTTGAAGGTAACATTGGTTTATAACATGTAAGTTTCATATGTACATTATATTTTGACTTCCATGTATACTACAGCGGGCTAACTACCAAAAGTTTAGTTTCTATCCATCGTCATACAGTTGACCCCCTTTACCCATTTTGCCTTTACCCCACCCATGTGGCCTGTTCATTTACTTTTTTGGTGATATTTGCAGCCCAGGCATTTTATATAAATGAGATAGTTCACTGTACACATTTTTTCTTTCGTCATGCTTGCTTTTGTGGCCTTATCTAAGAAACCATTACCTAATCCAGTGGGTCCTCTGAGTTTTATAGCTTCTACATTTTAGGTCTCTGATCCATTTCGAGTTAATTTTTGTGTATGGTGTGAGGTTGGGGTCCACCTTCATTCTTTTGTGTGTGGATGTATCCAATTACCTCTATTTATCAAAAAGACGGTTCTTTTTTCATTGAATTGTTTTGTCACCCTTGTTGAAAATCATTTGATCATAAATGTAAGGATTTATACCTGGACTCTGAATTCTGTTCCTTTGACTTGTGTATCTACTCTTAATGCCAGGACCACGTGGCTTTGGTTATTCTAGCTTCGTGTAGTAAGTTTTGAAGTTCTTCTGTTCACTTTTATATGAAATCAGTTTTCCTAAACTTCAGAAGGACAGAGTTAGTCAATACACTTTTTCTAGCATCATAATCCTGGAGCGCCCTCTTCTGTTGCTTTCACGAAGTGTTCAAAAGTAGGATTTCCTGATTGCTGAGGGAGGGCTGGTGCTAATTCTCTCTTCTGCTTTTTTGGGACCACCTCTTTCTTTTTGTTCTCATATCCACGTGCTACTCAACTTGAAATCTCTTCCCAGCAGTTTATAATACAAAGACATAAAAAGAAGGAAGCTGGTCCCTGGTCCTGCTGTCCACATCATGCCTTTTGATTATTTTTAGAAACAGCTAATGTACATATTAAGGATTCTTCAACAGTTCAGTAAAGTGAAAGTCTTCCTGCATCCCCTTAAGAGTTTCAAGACATTCAGGAAGAAAAAGTATACATTTACCAAAATATATGTAATTTTTCTTAAAAACATGTTTATACAGATTGTTCTTGAACTTGTTTATTTAATACGTTGAAGGGATATTTTAAAATCGGGAACGTGTGTCAGCTGAAGCGAATTATTACACCACTTTTAAAATAATATTCTTAAGGCTTCTCAGAGTAATAGGGCTTCTCTCCTCTTGGGCCACTTTTCTTGATGGGAAGTCAGGATTCCTGTGTGGTTTGGGGAAGGAACCAGGGACAGCTGTAGGATGTTTTCCCAAGGTTGTCGCTTATTTCCCGAAGACCTTTGTAATGTTTTGGTAATGCTTCTCATGTAATTATTAATCCCATTAGTGTAATCTATGTTAAAATAACCTTTATGCAATGAGGTTATCCTGGTTATAAGGTCCAGTCTGCCACTGTCCTTAGATCTGCTGCCTCTGGTTACACTGTTTCAGATTACGCATTTTTCAGGAACTCTGGTGACTTTGATGCTTTGACTGCATGTGTCATCCTGTCATTTAGAGTATACAGCCCTTGAGGATAGGAAATGGTCTTTTTCTATATATTAGTGCTCAGAACAGTCTTTCCTCACTGATGGAGACTGCCAGTGGGGTACTGACGATGCCTTGGGGGACTTGTGTTTATTCCCTCCAGGGGAGCCAGGAAGTGGGACGGAAAGTGATACTTCTCCGGACTTCCACAATCAGGAAAATGAGCCCAGCCAGGAGGACCCCGAGGATCTGGATGGATCTGTGCAGGGAGTGAAACCTCAGAAGGCTGCTTCTTCTACTTCCTCAGGGAGTCATCACAGCAGCCACAAAAAACGAAAGAATAAAAACCGGCACAGGTCAGTGGCAGGGACCACCTTTCCCAACCCTGCTTTCCCCCACCCTGTCCCCACCCACCCAGAGCCTCCGTGACCAGTGCTGTGAAGGGACTTTGCTAGAGTAAACATTCTTCAGGATTGGTGCAGTCTTTCGGTTGCTGATGGGAAGAAATTCATTTGGCCCAAATGAAGCAGGCTGATTTTTCTCTCTCTAAGGGAGGAATTGGTGGGCATTAGAATAACTGTGAAGGACATCCTTCTCACTGTTTCTAGTACAAAAG